GATCAAAGACCTAAATATAAAACCTAAAATGATAAAGATTATGGAAGAAAAAATAGGGACAATGCTAGGAGCCCTAATACATGGCATAAACAGAATACAAAACATTGCTAACAATGCACAAACACCAGAAGAGAAACTAGATAACTGGGAGCTCCTAAAAATCGAACACTTATGCTCATCAAAAGACTTCACCAGAAGAGTAAAAAGACAATCTACAGTATGGGAAAAAAATTTTGGCAACGACAAATCCAATCAGCATCTAAGCTCTAAAATCTACAAGATACTGCAAAACCTCAACAACAAAAAGACAAATAACCCCCAATTAAAAAATGGGCAAAGGATATGAACAGGCACTTCACCAAAGAAGACATTCAGGGAGCTAACAGATACATGAGGAAATGCTCACGATCATTAGCCATTAGAGAAATGCAAATCAAAACTATAATGAGATACCATCTCACCTCAGCAAGGCTAGCATTAATTCAAAAAACTAAAATAATAAATGTTGGAGAGGTTGTGGAGAGACTGGAACACTTATATACTGCTAATGGGAATGTAAAATGGTACAACTACTTTGGAAATTGATCTGGCACTTCCTTAAAAAGCTAGAAATAGAAGTACCGTAAGATCCAGCAATCCCACTCCTTGGAGTATATGCTAGAGAAATAAGAGCCATCACATGAAGAGATATGTGCACGCCCATGTTCATTGCAGCACTGTTTACGATAGCAAAAAGATATGGAAACAACCTAGGTGCCCATCAACGGATGAATGGATGAACAAATTATGGTATATTCACACAATGGAATATTATGCAATGATAAAGAACAATGATGAATCCATGAAATGTCTCATAACATGGATGAATCTGGAAGGCATTACGCTGAGTGAAATCAGTCACAAAAGGACAAGTATTGTATGAGACCACTATTATAAGAACTCAAGGAAAGGTTTAAACACAGAAGAAAACATTCTTTGATGGTTAAGAGGGTGGGGAGGGAGTCAGTTGCGAGCGAGGGAGCAGGGGCTGTTCGGCTGCAGGAGCGGAGCAATGCCTAAATCAAAGGAACTTGTTTCTTCAAGCTCATCTGGCAATGATTCTGATGGTGAAGTCGACAAAAAGTTAAAGAGGAAAAAGCAAGTTGCTCCAGAAAAACCTGTAAAGAAACAAAAGACTGGTGAAACTCCAAGAGCCCTGTCATCCTCCAAGCAGAGCAGCAGCAGCAGAGATGATAACATGTTTCAGACTGAGAAGATGAGGTACGTCAGTGTTCGGGACTTTAAAGGCAAAGTTCTAATTGATATTAGAGAATATTGGATGGATCCAGAAGGTGAAATGAAACCAGGAAGAAAAGGTATTTCTTTAAATCCCGAGCAGTGGAGCCAGCTGAAGGAACAGATTTCTGACAGCGATGATGCAGTAAGAAAACCGTAAAATCAGAGCCATATAAAACCTGTACTGGTCTAGTTGTTTTCAATCTGTCTTTTTACATTGGCTTTTATTTTCTGTTGTTTTTCAAGCTATTGTATATTTGGATTGCAGAACAATTTGAATACTTTTTTTTAATGTGCATTATTAAAAATGTTCCGAGTGAAGCTAATTGTCAACTTTATTAAGGAGGATTGCTTTGTGCCCACCACCTAGTGTAAAATAAAATCATGTAATACAATCTTAACTGTTGTGGCCTTTTTTGATCAGAAGAGTTGGTGCCGTTTAAGGCCTAAGTCACAGTTTGTAAACCTTTTAGTTTCAACTCAACTTTTCAGTGAAGAAGGATTTGTATTGTATTAAACTTATAAAATCTTGATTTGGAAAATCATCTGTTTTCTTCCAACCAAATGCCTAGACTTGTTTGACTTTTTCACTCCAATATTTCATTCCCTCCTGCCCCCTCTTTTTTACTTCATTTTCCTTTACTAACTTACCTTTCCACGTTTAGTTTTTACTCTTCCTTGAATATATTATGCTAGTTTGCAAATGTCAGTGAAACTGTCAAAATGTTAGTTATCTCAGTAAGGCAGTTGTAATTAAAATATGGGAAATGCAATCACTAATGCTGATCTACTAAATATTAGGAAATGTAGTTTGATAAACAACATGGCTTGTATGAAAACTGAGCAAATGTATATCATTACCGATAGTGTTCTGTGTAGGTGTTATCTTATTTTTCAGTCTGCAGAAAATAATGACTAAATGTCTGATTTTCTTTTTCTTATTAAACATGTTCACCATGGGATGGTGTCCATAAGATGAGATATTGTTAAATTAGACTGGGATTTAATAAAAATTGTGAAAGCTTCCTCACCTAACATTTTGTTTTATAACATTAAGTATGGATTATATATAGTCAGATGTCATTGAGCTTTACTATCATAGTAGGTAATGTGGTCTTTTTTTTTTTTTTTTTTTGGGTTGGGGGGAAGAGCATATACTTGTAGTTTGTGACCTTTGCTTCAGTAGACTTGGTTATTTTGCAGTTAATCTACTGGACAATGGTATTCTAGACTTGATATTATGAAGTTTTAGCAGACACACTTAAGTTATTTTCATTTAACAATAATGATGAAACAGGCACAGAGTGATGTGGCACAGATTTCAGGGGCTTTGCAGCAATAAATAGGGCATGGGTGCCTTAGGAAAACAATATTTGTGAAGGGAACTATAAAATTAAAGAAGGTGGCAGTGAAGAGGAAAGAATTCTCTTCAAACTTAAATGATATACACAAAGTGATACTTTCATAAATATTTTGAAATTTTGATCACATTGGTAGGACACAGTTCTAGATAGAATAGTAGAAGTTTAAATATGTAAAAAAATTCTTGTTGACACATTATTTTTGGTAGCAAATCTCAAATGGTTACTGCCAGTAAGGGCTGCCATATCAGAGAGTTGCACTATTCTGCTACCAAGTTTGATTCCTACATCTAAAACACTTTGTAGTAGAATTATTAGGGACTTGATTTCGAAACCATCTGTCAGGCCACGTATGGTTAGCAATTTTCTTTCTAGCAGCTATTCTGTTTAGATATGATGTTTTATATTTTCTATATGACTTTTTAAGTATTTAGCAGCAACCCTAATAGGTGCATAATTGGGCAAATAAATCCTCTGTCCTAATATATTAGCCTTCATCAAATAATAGTACCAAAGTGTTCAAAATGTATATTTTAGACAAATCATGCTTGGTTGATAACTAACTTTCACTTATTTTGGAACACGTATGTGTCCTATTAACTTAATTGGGTAGATTTGTAAAGCATTTTTTATTTTTGGCATACAGGAAGGGTAGTTAAAACACAAGTTTGATTTTGGTACAGGTGAAGAGGAAATAATGGGTAAATTTCCTAGGTTTATGTGCATTTAGGGATGTATGCATTTTAAAATAACTTGCTCATACAGAGATGGTGCTGAAATCTATTATCAAAGTATTTTCTAGCCATTTAGCTTTATGTTAATAAAACCTTTATGTAAGGAGTGTTTCTTTGGCAGAATTGATAAATTGACTGCTAAATTCATTTAAATACATTACTGGATATACAATATATAGAAAACGTTTTGTGTGTGTGTATGGGTATAGGAAAAGATGAGAACTGGGTTAAAAAAGAAATTGTACTGAAAAGAAAAGATGAAGTACTTTTGTTTCCTGTTTAAACGTTTATCTTCTTGGTAAAATTTCTCCCAAGAAGAAAGCTTAGCATTTAGAAGTGTAAGTATTAATCTTGTAACGCCAAAACGAATTGAACTGGTGCCAGTACTCTGATATTGTCCGTTAATATGCTCAGTAGCAGGGCTTTTCCTCTTTGTCTTTTAAAGTATGGGCAGCATTTGACCGATTTCTAATGCTCTTGGCATTTTATTGAAAGAAAAACCGCTAAAAAAGAACAGCTTCTTATAATTTGATTATTCTTTTTTGCTTCATAAATGCCTAAGAACTTCTTCTGAAGAATACCTCCTACCTCATTAGCTAGTCAAGATGCTATGATGATCAGCCTATTTGACCTAATGTGTTTAGAAAAAAGACTTAGGAAAAATACTGAAAGAAAGTACATCCTGGTTTGGCTATTGAGGGGAAAAGAGAAAGAATTGTATATTATGTAAGTGTTCTGACAGAGGTATGGTGTTAGAAGAGTACTATGTAAGTTGGACATTATTAAAATGTGCTAATATTTAGGTATCTCTCCTCAAATTCTCTGAAGTTCATTTTCTATGGAAATCAATCCAGTGAAACACTCAATTTTTTTTTTTTTTTAATTGGTGTTTTTCCAAATAAATTCTAGGGACAAACATTCACATAGTCATGAGTGTGTAATTCTGTAATTGTAGAATGCCTGTCTGTATGCTTTGTTTGGTACATTTTCCATGGAGATGTCAATGAATATAATACTCCACCTGTGAATATTTTAAATGTTGAAATAAAAATAAATGTGCTCTGAAAAAAAGAAAAGAGGGTGGGGAGGGAGGGAGAAGGGAATTCACTAACTAGATAGTAGACAAGAATTATCTTAGGGAAGGACAAGACACAATACATGGGAAGTCAGCATAATTGGACTAAACTAAAAACTAAGAAGTTTCCTGAATACAACCAAATACTTTGAATGACGGAGTAGCAGGGGTGAGGATCTGGGAACCATGGTTTCAGGGGACATCTGGGTCAATCGGCATAACAAAGTTTATTAAGAAAATGTTCTGCATCTCATTTTGGTGAGTGGCATCTGGGATCTTAAAACCTAGCGAGCAGCCATCTAAGATGCATCAACTGGTCCCAACCCACCTGGAGCAAAGGAGAATGAAGAATACCAAAGACACAAGGAAAATATTAGTCCAAAACACAGAAAGGGCCACATAAACCAGAGACTCCATCAGCCGAGACCAGAAGAACTAGATGGTGCCCAGCTACCACCAATGACCGTCCTGACAGGGAAGAAAACAGTCCCTGACGGAGCAGGAGAAAAGTGGGGTGCAGAATTTAAATTCTAGTAAAATAGACCAGACTTAATGGTCTGACTGAGACTAGAGGGACCCCGGACGACACGGCCCCCGGACTCTCTGTTAGCCCAGGACTGAAACCATTCCCGAGCCAACTCTTCAGACATAGATTAGACTGGGATATATGACATAAAACGATACTTGTGAAAAGAGTGGTTCTTAGCTCAAGTAGATACATGATACTAAATGGGCAGCTCCTGTCCGGAGGTGAGACGAGAAGGCAAAAAGGGACAGGAGCTGATTTGATTGAATGGGCATGGGAAGTCCGGGGTGGAAAGGAGGAGTGTGCTGTCACATTATAAGGAGAGCAGTTAGGGACACATAACTATGTGTGTATAAATTTTTGTATGAGAAACTAACTTGAACTGTAAACTTTCACTTAAAGCACAATAAATAAATAAATAAAATAACAACAACAAAAAACTTGCCACACACCACATGTATACATGTACACTATACGTACACACACACACGTGTTAAGTATATATACCGTTGTTGTTGATGATGTGTGCTGTCAAGTCGATTCCTCACAGGACAGAGTAGAACTGCCCCATAGGCTATAATCTTCATGGGAGCTGATCGCCAGGTCTTTTCTCCCTTGGAGCCACTGGACAGGTTTGAACTGCCGACCTTTCAGTTAGCAACCAAGTACTTAACCATTGCACCATCGGGGTTCCTTAAGTATATATGGTTATTGTTGTTATGTGCCCTTAAGTTGGTTGTGACTCATAATGATCCTGTAGAATAGGGTAGAACTGGCCCATAGGGTTTCCAAGAAGCGGCTGGTGGATTCAAACTGCTGACCTTCTGTGTAGTAGCTGAGCTCTTAAACACTGTGCCACCAGGACTCGATAAGTATATATACTACTGCACTAATATTCCAAAACATATGCAAGAAATAATGTAAAAAATGAAATAAATAATATTTTAAAATAATTCTTTATTCTATTCCATGTATTAATGGAACAACAACAAACAAACAAAAAAAAACCCTAAATCACTTAGATTTGGTTGTGCTTCATTATTTCATCAGATCTTTATTTAACACTTGTGATACAGTTATTCCAACTCTGATATTAAATTCTGTTTATTTCTGTACTTGGTTTCGATGCTGACACTCTTTTGTCATTGCTGAAAAAGAGACTTCACAAAAATAGGTGAATGAATAATTCATCTTTAAACTTGAAAATTCTTTGAGGTACCTTGTAATGAAATAACCAATGAACTATCTATCCAAAAACAAAAACCCAAACCAGTTGCAGTGGAGTCAATTCCAACTCATAGCGACCCTATAGGATGGAGTAGAACCGCCCCATGGGGTTTCCAAGGCTGTAATCTTGACGAAGCAGATTGCCACATCTTTCTTCCATGGAGCAGCTGGTGGCTTCCAACCGCCAACCTTTTAGGATTAGCAGCCAAGCGCTTAACCACTGCGCCACCAGGGCCCCTTAAATTACCTATAAGTGGTACAAAAGATTTTCATGGTCATCCCCCATCTTGTTACACACCTTTTTAAAGATCAAACAGTTTAAGATAACACAATACATAAAGGCACCTAACAGCACACTATGCCGACA